TGGTCTCCATAGTTCCAGGACAGCCATGGTTACATAGAAAAACCTTGTCTCAAAAACAAAAATACAGTTTGAGCATGTTTAGGGATTAAGAAGGTAAACACAGTTTAGAAAAGTATTTTCGTTTATTACCATTTACATGTCTTAAACATACATCCTTTGTAAATTAAATATAACGCTTTTTCTGTTTGACAGTAGCATTTGTTTGATCTGGGTTTTGCGTTTTGTTTCTTTCCCTCTTGGGTAACTTTGGCTGTAAAGATTTCTAACTTGGAAGAGCAGTTAGAGCAGTTTCGTGAGGAACAGGAAAATAAGAATGAGGAGGTTCAGGAGCTCCACATGCAGTTGGAAATACAGAAGAAGGGGTCCACCACTCACTTGCAAGAGCTCCAGCAAGAAAATAACTATTTAAGGTAATTAGCTGATAAAAATAATTCACATTGTTGATACTTTATATTTTTGTAAGCATTTGCTAGCAGTAACATTAGTAGGCTAATGAATTTGCATGGGACGTATTTGCTCAAACTAGACATTTGAATTCAGCATAAGTGAAAATATTTGAGATTGGTTTATCAATATATTTTTGGAATTACTGAAATAGAGTATCTTATTTTTATGTCATTATATGCACCCTATGTTTTTATAAGACTCTATTAAGGGAATATACTGAAAATACCATGTAATGATCATATAATTGTGATAGTTATTTTTGTCCCTAGGATGAAATACAAAAACTGGAGTTTTTCCTGAAAGGCTATGATCCCCAGTTTTGTCATGATCAGCCCATGTTGTTTGGGGAATTTTCAAGGCTAATTCAAGGAAAGAATGGCAGAATTGACCAGTTAAATGAACAGCTTGTTAAGCTTCAGGAACAACGGGAAACAGACATGCAGGTGTGCCCACTTCAGATCTGTCAGAATTGAGTAACCGCTTTTACCTTTTTACTTAGTTTTCTTATTTATTTATTTATTTTGTGGGTCAGAGCACAACTTGTGGGAGTCATTTCTTCTTATATCCTGTGAGCCACTGATGATGGATGTTTCTGCTCTGCCTGCTCCTATAGCCATTTAGTCCCAAATGGATACACAGAGGCTGATGTTAATTATAAACTGTTGGGCCAATGGCTCAGGCTACTTATTGGCTAGCTCTCTCTTAACTGTTAACTTGTTTCTATTAATTTAAGAATCTCCATGTAGTCTTTGCTTACAGGAGAATGCCCAGCATCCTATTTTCCTGGTAGCTGCATGGCGACTGCTTCCCTGCTTCATTCCTCCTCCCAGAATTCTCCTTGTCTTGTAGCCGCACCTATACTTCCTGCATGGCTACTGGCCAATCAGCATTTATTCATCAACCAATAAGAGAAACATATGTTTACATCATACAGAAGGACATTCTCCATCAAGCTACAGCTATAGCGCTTAGCTTGTCAGGCCTGACAGTGAAAACCCTGACCCACTAAACTATCTCAGAGGCTGTGCCTAAAATTTAAAACACAAAATAATGACAATTTTCCCATTCCTGTTGAAGTTCCCTAGGTGCTTGCACCTGAGTGCACAAATGTGTGTACCCATACCTGCATACAGATGGTCAGAGCAGGGCATTTGGTATGTTCTGTCGCTCTCTGCCTAAATTGCCTTGAGGCAGGGTTTCTCACTGCTCACCTTATTGATTGCCTCAGTTAGTCTAGTTGACCAGTGAGCTCGCAGAATCTGCCTGCTTCTGTTTCTTGGAGCAGGAGTCACAGACTCACACAGTCCTGCTCAGTTTTTCATGTGTATGCTGGGACTTTGAACTTGGGTTCTTGTGCTCAAAGAATAAGCATGCATAGCCCCTGAGCTATCTCCCCTGCCCTTCCCTATTGAATTTTAAACACAAATACCATGGCCAGTGATATGCCTCAGCTGGGGAAGGTGCTTGCTAACTAAATATACTAAAATTTCCTCTGTTCAAGATTTTCCCTTTGACAGCCACCCGCTGTCCACACTGTTTTGTACTTCTCTCTTTCCAAGAGAATGTACTGATACTGTTTTCTTCTGGGAAATCAACAACTCAAGGTTGAGCCACTTCACACTTCATAAAACTTCCAGAATGAAGTTCTAAATAAAAAGAGGTGTCTTGTTGGTTTATTTTAAAAAGAGCATTCCTGTGCCAGAGATAGTGTTTTGGTTTAGGAAATACTCATCTCTGTAAGGTCCTGCCTTAAAATAGAATTTCTAAAATGAAATACGTATTTATTGTTTATGTGTCCCTTTTTCATTAAATAATAGGCCATTAAAGAAAAAGATGAACTTATAAAGGATCTTGATGCCCAAATCCAATGTTTGATGTGTGAGCAAGGATGTGAGAAGAAAAATGGGGAGGAAGAAATAGAGCAGCTCAAAGGAGTAACTGAAAATTGGCAGGAAGAGTTGGCGAGCATTGAACAGAAGACAACAGAAATCACATTCCATCCCCCAGATACAGAAAGCCTCCAGTGTACACTAGATAAGGTGAGAGCTGAAGAGAAGACTTCACAACAAAAAGCAGAAACTGCCAATGAGGAAATAGCGTGCACAAAACGTACTCCTAAAGAAGCCAGTTGTAAAATGGATCAGCTAGCACAAGAACTATGCATCCTGAACAAAGGACAAATGGTCCAGGAGCAACTGCACTCTGTACCTATGGAAAGTGTTGCCATGGCTGCTGATGAGCTCCAGGCTGATGCACTGCAGCCAGAAGATGTCTCTGCCCAGGACTCTTCTGAGCTTCTAAAGACCCTGACTTCTGTCGGATGCCTTAAAGAAAACACCAAGGGTTACAGAAGTCTAGAAATAAAGTTACTAGGACTGGAGAGTTCTCTAAGAAAGAAGGATTTAGAACTAATGCAGTGTCATAAACAAATAAAAACCATGCAAGAGCAAGGCCAATCAGAACCAGAAATGCTTCAAAAGAAGAACAAAAATCTTCAGAGTTTACTTGAAGAGAAAGTAGCTGCAGCCATCGTTAGTCAAGCACAATTGGAAGCCTTTCAGCAGTACGTGAAGGGCTTCCAAGAGAAGAGAGCATCAGAACCTGAAAGGACAGATGGGCCCAATGTAAATCCTCTGACAGGAGACAACTTAGAGTCAGATGTCTACACATTATCTGTGAGAACCGCAGAGTTAAAGAACCAAGTAGCTGAAATGCATTCTAGTTTTATATCACAAAAACAACATGTGGAAATTACAGACAAAAAGTTTTCTGATACAGAAAAAATGCTACAGCTACAGATGCCTTCAGAGGAGGGCACTAAGAAAAGGCGGGAAGTTGAAGAAAAAGAAAGAAGCCTTCAAGATTTTGATACCTCTGAGGTTAGTGTTAAGTGTGAAGTTTTTTTCATTTTAATGTTTTACGTAAATCTTTACCTTTGTTCATTAAGTTGACTGATGATTTAATAATAAATCTGGTGTTTGGTTCATGTCAAACTTAGATGTAATGAGACTTCAGGAGAATACACTGTTTGTGAAGAAGAGGCTTCAGTTCATGTGGGTGATTTTCCTGTTTCCATGCAAGTGAGACTTGAAGCATGAACTGTCCTCTCTGTGTTCATCCTTAGTCCTGCATCTGATGCACACAAGACTTCACCGATTCCTTTACTGTTGTGTTCATTGTGCTTTAGATAAAAGGACAACATATAACATCACTCTCAAGAGATTCAAACAAAGTTACAGGTCAGCTCACAGATACCAAAGAGAATTTATCACACTTGTTAGAATAGAAAATTGGGCTGGAGACAAGCAAAGTGGAAAATTTGCTGCATCAGAGCCAATCCTGTAGATGGCTGCTCTGGGTCCCAGAGAGAGGGAGACAGCAAGGGTAGCAGCAGTAATCAGCTCCTTTTTAGACCCCCAGGAGCTCATTTGACATGGGCTGAGTGTTCCCCAGGAGTCAGTCAGTTTACTGAAAACATTGAACAAATGCAGGAGATACATGCTGCAGAAATTTCAGATATAGAATCCAGACATATTTCAGAAGCTGAGACTTTTGAGAGAGAACATTATGTGCAATCCGGTTACTGACTAAAGAATGTCATTCTTTAAAGAAATGACCCAGTGTTTAAAATCTAACAGATACCTGGTTTTCATAGAATATGTTTTTCAACCTCCTGTCATTTTCCTCTCAACACTGTGAGTGTGTGAGACATTTTTCATGGCATAGTTACACTTTGGCATCTTGTTGTGAGTTAGATGATGAAGTTCCTGTGTGGTTCTGGAGCCTACTGTGATTTCGTAATTCATGAGGGTTCCTTTCTATGACAACATCCACGAGAAGGAAAATTGCAGACTTGTTATTTGTGATTTGTGACTGTATGATAGAACAAATTGATGTCTTTGTTTCTCCCTTAACTATATCACAAAATAGGTGAATGATTCATTGGGTCTGGTTTTTCCTAAATCAGTCTTAAAGTCTCTACATTTTCTGTTGATGTCTTCTTTATTTAGGTGTCCTCCATTCCTGGATTGGTGTATTCTAATGCATAATTCTGGAATATTCAAACAAATGCAATAGTATTTTTTTAAAAGTGTATGCACATGTGTAATTATAGATGGTTGTTTTCTTAATTTTAGACTCTGAGTCTGATTGGGGCCACGGGTTTGACACAGCATCAGAAGGTGGGGAAGACGGTGAAGGTTCAGCTGGTGCAGTCCCAAGGGCAGTCAAGGTACTGGTGACAACCCTCATTTAGCTTGGCCCATGCCATCCCCACACTGAACAGGGTAGTCAGCTTGAAGTTACATAGAAAGGTTCTCTTCGAAGAAAGAATTGCATAGTTAAAAGTATCCCTGGGAATTTTTTTCACTTTATTTAGGTTTCATAGATGTTACAGTAGAATGTTGCAGAATTGATTTTTCTGGGATGTGTCTTGTAGCATGCTTTCAGTCAGATTTTTCCTCACCATGTGACCAAGTCATTTAGATGCTTTGAGATCATTCAAAGCTATGTGCTGTGCACTCAACTTGCTTGACTTACCTTTAAGAACAACTCCCCATGTAATCAGTTTTACAAGATAAGCTGCACATGAAGGTTTACTCTTAGATTTTCCCTGTTTCTCCCTGGCAACCCCTCTATGACACTGACTCGGTATGTGTATGTGTTAGGTATGGTCACGTAGTCTGCAATCCCTGGTGGGAGCAATGATGTTAAAAGCAGTGAATGACCTGAAAAAATAGCCTGTCAGCTTAGGACAATGCATTTATTTGTGGGTTTGCTTGCTCTGCTGGGTCCATGAAGTCAGATAACCAACTTCTTCCCTTATAAAAAATGTAAGACAAAGTCCCTTGTTCCTCTCCTTACCACACTTAATGTGCTGTTCAGTAGGTTGAGAGGATGCTTCTTTGTAAGGGAGATTGGGCTCATTCTTAGTTACTTTCTCTTATGCAGCTGTGTCACAATAAAGTCATATGTATGAAGAGTTTTCAAACCCAACTTTATTCTCCATGTTTTTGTTTGCCTAGATCATGAAATTAGTCTCAAGTTATTTCCCACATTCTTTCTTTTGGTCAAATCAGTGACTAATCAGTGAGTCTGGAATGAGTGTTTTAGCCAAATAGAATAAGGACCTTAGAAGTGCTAGCTATAAAAGACAGTTTTTACTCACCACTCCACAGCAAGCAGCCAAGTGGAAATGTTGGGATCCCATTTCTTGACTGCAGTGGTCTTTGTAAATCATTGGAGGTTGCTGAATCTGCTTGTTTGACTCTGCGTGTCTTGTTTTTCAGTCTTTGAAGTCATAATTTTGTCTTCACTACTTTTATTTTCTAGGGATTATTGAGAGCAGTCCATACTGAGGGCATGCAGATGCTTTCTCTTGCTGACTCCCCTGAGGATGATGGAGAGGACCAGCCTGAACAGAAGGTTTCAGAATATTGGCTAGAAGAGAGAAGAACTTTCATCTCTACTATCTTATCTCTTAAAAATGTAATTTCCAAAATGCAAGTGCAAAGACAGACTGAGGTATTCAAAGAGTATTTTGCTTCTAGATAGTTTTTTTTTTTTGGTTTTTACGAGACAGGGTTTCTCTGTATTGTTTTGGAGGCTGTCGTCCAGCCCGGCCTTGAACTCACAGAGATCCGCCTGCCTCTGTCTCCAGAGTGCTGGGGTTAAAGGCGTGTGCCACCACCGCCCGGCTGCTTCTAGATAGTTTTACATGTGTTTACTGACAATAATAAATCGTACAGATTTTTATATGTGTTTCATGTGTTACTTCATCTCTTTTTCACACTCAAAAACATGCTCTTTGAATTTTTAAAAAAATATATTTTGGTTAGCAGACTAGTATTTTTGGAATATATTTCAAGCATGCTTATTGGAAAACTGACTTTTCACATTTTGTGCTGTGCAGGTCTGTGGCCAGTCTCTGTCACTGGAGAGCCTCCCAGATTGGCGAGGTGAACTTTTGCTTGCCCTTCAGGATGTACTCTTAAAGGAACGGAGTGTATTACTAGCTGCCTTCCGAACAGAACTGATGTCTCCTGGAACTAGAGACACTGATGAATTGCTGAAATGTTTGCAACAGAGAGTACAAGAACAGGTATTAAAACAAAACTATTTTCAAGAGTATTTTTGAATAGTAAGAAAATTTTGGGGTATTCATTTGTTTTGGAGTCGTGAAGGCTGACATTTAATGGAAACCACTAAGAATGTATAGAGAAAACTATTACTTTAGATATTTTACCTTATGTTAAAAAGTAAGAAACACTGAACATTAATGAGCTAATCACCAAACTTAAGAAGTTAAAAATTGAGGTACAGAACAAATCCAAAGAAAATAGAAGGATAAAGTTGCCGTGCTCTGGCGCTAGAGAAAATTGGGTCTAATTTCCTGTAACCTCTGGTCACAGCTTCATTGGCCAGTTAAGGTATGATCTTGTTTTCTATGTGTGTATTCATCAGGCTTGCCATCTCTGGACAGAGTATAATGCAAACAGTTTACACAAGGAAGGGATTAGAGCCAGATTCAGAGAATTCTGTCCATAGTCCTTGTCTCCATACACAGGCAAAATGTCATGGTACCAGGAGCAAGTGGCAGAGGCTGCTCATCTCATGGCAGACAAGAGAGAAAGAGGAAGGGGCTAAGGACTGAATATAACCTACAGTTCCTCACTGAGGTTCCCCACTCCTAAGGTTTCCAGAGCTTTCCAAGATAAGATCTTCTCTGTTAGGGAACCACATGTTCCAAGTGTTCAACACATGAACTTGTGGGAAACATTTCACATTCAAACCAAAACATCAGTCATATTTAAGGTTACCTTATTGTCTATTACTGTTCTGTTACTGTTGAACATAGCCTGTAACAGTGTAACTTAGGTATGGGTGAGTGTTACCCAAGCACATACATATACCACACGCCCCCCCAATTTTTTAATAATAATCAAATACCGTAAGTCTCTTTTGCTCAATTTTAAAGCCACAGAATTAATTATTTTTCATTTTTACAAAAGCTATCAAATTCATTCAAGAGGGCTAGGCAGTGGTGTCACATGCTTTTAATCGCAGCACTCAGAAGGCAAAGTTAAGTGGATCTCCAAGTTTAAGGACAGCCTTGTCTACAGAACAAGTTCCAGAAAAGCCGGACCTACACAGAGAAATCCCGTCTCAAAAAAGAAGGAAAAAAAAATCCTTCAAGTTCATTGGCCACTGTGACATAGCTGTGATCTTGATGTAAGAGAATTGCAAGTTCTTAGTAGAACTTTTCTCTTAACCTAAGTTTTGTAAAGACTGGGATGTAGCTAAATGATAGACTTCATGCCTAGCATAAATAGAGTCCTCTTCCCCAGTGTTTGGAATTTTAAAAAAAATCAGGAACAAGAAATTGAAAGCTTGAAAAAACCTCTGCTAGTAACCAAAACTAGTAATTAAAAGTCTCATAGCATTAGTGTGCCCAAGTCTTGACTTTTAAATACATTCTCCCTCCAAAGGTATTTTAGTTCCTTGGAGACCTGGAGTTTCTAGGGCTTGAACATGGGAGGCACAAAGCAAAACCTAGAATCTCCTGCTTTTCAGTAAAGAAATGTTTATAGAATTAAGAGAACGTGTTAAAAAGCTCACAGAAGCAGACCTGGAGGCTTACTCACTGGTCACATTTAGAACATTTAAATATCAAGCTATCTAAATGAGATAGCACACACCTCTAATTCCAACACTCAGGAGGCAGAGGCAGACAGATCTCTGAGTTCAAGGCTATTAGCTCAGTATTGTTTGACAAAACTTTTCCTGGGAAACCTATACACATACACTCCCCACCAAGAAAATAAAGATAGAAAAAACTAAATGATAGTGTTAGATTATGAAGCAGAATAGAAAAAGAATTCATCAGGTCATATTCATAAATAGATAAAATGTCACAGTAGAATGCTACCTAGTCAGGGTTCTAGAAGGAACAATTTAATTAAGGACTTCTTTACTAAACGTTATTTTTGTTAAGTAATAATCAGTGGCGGATTGTTTGATAATATTTACATAATTGTGAAATAAGTCTCCAGAAGATAACCTTCTAATGCAAAATAGAGACACCTCACACACACCTCCCAGCTCAAGAAGTCAGTCTGCCAGTGATGTCAGCTAACAGACTTGGGCTTCTGTTAAATGTATGAACAGACGGAAAAGCAAAGACTGAGTGCTGATGGACATGCAGAAAAGCAGTATCAGGCAGCAGGATGGGAAAAGTGTCATAACACAGCAATTCTGGCAGCTTATGAATTTGCACATGATTTTATCATACAGTCTAGCAGTCACTCACACCATACATCGGACAGAAATGAAAACCGAAATCTTGTTAAGAACCTGGGTGTAGACTGGAGAGATGACTCAGCAGTTAAGGGTCCCTGTTGCTCTTGCAGAGGACCCTGGTTCAGTTCCCAGCACCCACGCGACAGTCATTCATAATTCTAGTTCTGGGAGTTCCAGTGCCCTCTTCCCACCTCCGCTCTTACCAGCCACTCATGTAGCACATACAGGAAAGCAGAACCCATAAAGGGATGGAGAAATCACTTTCTACATAAGTATTCACAACAGCTTTATTTGTAATTGTCCCCAAACTAGGAACCACCCTTTTGTCCTCCAATGGGAAATGGACCAGCTGTGGTACATCCCTACAGTGAGTTGTAACCCAGTAGGGGCTGGAGAGATAGTTCAGGGGTTAAGAGTTAAGAGTAATGCTGTTCTTCAGAGGACCTGGTTCCCTTCCCAGCATGGCAGCTCACAGCTGTATGTGACACCAGCTCCAAGGATCCAGTGCCCCCTCTGGCTCTGATCCTACATGCTTGTGGGCACATATAAGCTCACACAACCACATGCGTATACATAAAGTAAAAGATAATTTCTAAAAATAGAGAAGAGAAAAACGGCTCAGTAGCTTAAAAGAAACAAGCTATTGGTATCCTCAGTATTCTGTATGCCTTATAAACTCTAGCCCACAATCCCCAGCCAGAAAGTCTGGGAAACAGGGAGGACCCTAAAAGAGAAGGGGAACAGGACAGAATCTTCTGAGGTGATTGGGAGTATGGGGGGGGTGTTGAGGAAGTTTGGAGAAAGAGAGGGGTGAAGAGGAGGAGAGAGGAGGACATGGGGAAGCAGGAAAGTTGAGTAGGGGGAAGAATAGAGGAGAGAAGGATGAGAGATACCATAATAGAGGGAGCCATTATAAGTTTGAAGAAAGATCTGGTTCTAGTGAGATTCTCAGAGGCCTACAAGGATGATACCAACTGGCAATCTAAGCAATAGTGGAGAGGCTACCTTAAATGCCCTTCCCTATAACGTGATTGATGACTTCCTTGTGTGCCATCCTAGAGCCTTCATCCAGTGGCTGAAGGAAGCAGAAGCAGATACCCACAGGTAAACACTGAACTGAACCCCTGGAACCCAGTTGCAGAGAGGGAGGAGTGATGAGCAAAGGAGCTAACACTTGGTGGGTGAAACCCACAGAATCAGCTGACCTGAACAAGGGGGATCTGATGGACCCCAGACTGATGGCTGAGAGGCCTGCATGGGACTTATCCAGATCCCTGAATGTGGGTGTCAGTGAGGAGGCCTTAGCATCCTTTGGGGCCTCAGGCAATAAGTCACCATTTAGCCCTATCATCCATATGGACTTTGGGAGCCCATTCCACATGGAGGAATACTGTCTCTGCCTAGACACATGGGCCCTGCCCCAGATCATATGACAGACTTTCGGGATCCCCCAAGAAGGGCCTCAACCTCCTTGGAGAGTAGAGTAAGGATTGGGGGAGGGTAAAAGGAGGTGGGGGGAGCTAGGATTGACATGTGAAGCAAATTTGTTTCTAATTTATATTAAATTTTAAAAATAATTTAAAAAAAGAATGAAATATTTAAAAAACCTCTTAAAATGATACAATTTATACTGATAAGGAAGAGATGAGTTGGACTGGAGAGATGGCTCTTAGGTTAAGAGCACTGTCTGCTCTTCCAGAGGTCCTGAGTTCAATTCCCAGCAACCACATGGTGGCTAACTAGATCTGGTATCTGGCATGTACATGCCAGAACAGTGTATACATAATATATAAATAAATGTTAAAAAAAAGGATGTGTTCTTGCCAGGATTTGAGGCTGGGAAGAAGCTGTGACATCAAGAAGAGTCTTTGCTGAATGACTTCAGTACCCTGACTGTGGCACATGAAATGGATCTCTCCAATTGATGCGGTTCCATAGTGCTGGATACCAAGAAAACAACATGGATATAAAACTAATGGCATTTAATAACACTTTCATGGTCCTTGTTGTAACAATTGGCTGTAATCAAAATTTTTCAAGGCCCTTTGATTCAAAAGCTTTCACTCAGTTCAAAAAGAGGTACCACAATAAGTGTAGGATCTAAGTCTGAGGGCTATAGAAAAAGAATCTTCTCACGACACATTCATTCTGTATATTGTTCTTTCTTTACTATTCTCTATTCTAATTCTTTTGTCTGAATTCTCTGTAATTTCTTAGCTCAAATTCCAATTCTAATGCTTTTTTCTTTCTTCTTTATTTTTCTACATACTTTTCCTACATTCTTACCCCTTAAATTTCTGCCAACTTCTCTATCCAGGTGCTATCTCTCTCCTCTAGTAAATTTCTCTTTCTCCAAAGGCTTGAAACAAAGGATAAGAATTACAGAGTCAGCTTTTCATTGGTCAGGAAGACATTCCTAGGCTAAACAATAAAGGCAGAGCCATTGCCATGGCAACATAAGACCCCAAGGCCATAGGAGCAAAACTGTGACCAGACAGGGAGGGCATAATGCCCAATAACAACTTTAGGAAACTGGCAGGTGAAAAGCAGGCATGCTTTAAGATTAATGTGAGGTTAGCTTGGGATAGCACTTTCCTATCTGCAGGCAGAGAGAATCCAGAATACTCTTGTTCTCTGTCTCTCTGAGAGCTATTACTCAACAACTTTAGACCTACTATGATTCTTTTTTAAATATTTATTTGTATTTTGTTTATGTTGATGTTTCCCCTGCATGTATGTCTGTGTGAGGGTATCAGATCCCCTGGAATAGGAGTTATAGACAGCTGGGAGCTGCCATGTGGGTGCTAGGAATTGAACCTGAGTCTTCTGAAAGAGAAGCCCATGCTCTTTACCACTGAGCTATTTCTCCAGCCCCATCCTATGATTCTTATCCTTGGGCATCTGTGAATATTAATAGAGGTTGCTTTGCCTGGACACTAACATTGACCAGCTGTCTGCCAAGGAAGAAAACTGTAGGAGGGCAGACTTCTAAGTTTATACTATGACCTGGTTGAGAGACCAAGGTTATTGATTGTGATTACTTTCTTGCCAGAATCATGCATTGTTGAGGGAGTCATCCAGTATACCAGTGCTTAGGGGACAACGTGCCCAGTAAGTGATTAATACACTGCTGGAGCTTTTGTAGTGAATCCCACCATAGAAAGCTTCACAGAGAATTAACAGTAAGGACAGTGACTATCCAGAAAGCAAATACTCCCACTGCCCTGCATCTGGGCTCCTCCATCAGAATGTGTGATCCCCGTGGGTAAGTTTCGCTGTTTGTCAACTGAGCTCTCACTGCATAACCCTGCTATCTGTAGTATGCTGTTTCCAGTTATGTCAGATGTTATCATTGGAGAAAGCTAGCTGAGGTTTAAACCAAGAACATTGGTTTAAACTAGTACAGATAAGATTGTTTGTTTGGGGGATTTGTTTTGTTTTGTTTTGATTAAAGAACACAGGACAAATTAGCCTGTACTCTGCAGATGTTTCAAGGTTGCCAAAGACTTACTAGTACCACTTTTCATTTTCCTGGAAAGGACATTTGATGAAAACTTTTGTAAGGACCCCATGTTAGATAGCATAGTAATGTTCATCACACTTGCCAAGATTATTGTGCTGTGTAGAATGCTTTGGCCCAGAGAGATATCTCAGCAGGTAAGGACATTGACTGACCAGCCCAGCAACCTCAGTCTGACCCTGAAACCCACATGGTGGGAGGAGAAAACCAATCCCCACAGATTGTCCTCTGTTCTCACATGCTCACTGTGGAGCAGAAGCATGTACACAGACACAACCAACGAGTAAGTAAATAAATAATCAAAACAAGATTGTTCTGCTTTCTAGGAAATTCACAGCAATGTTTAGAAATTAAGGTCCATCTGTCTCCAACAGACCCTCACAATTTTTTCTGGACCAAAAATTGTGAAAAATATTAATGACAAAAATTTGGCATGTGGGCTCCATTCTTTGTCATTCAGACTTCCCGGTTTTCACTTCCATTATCTCTACACCTCTCTTTGCTTAGTTTTTCATTTTTCCTTTGTTACAGAGCATTGAGTATCAAGCAGCTATGGAATGTCTCCAGAAAGCAGACAGAAGGAGTTTGTTAGCCGAAAACCAAGTATTACATGCTCAAATCAGTGGCAGGGAAGTGACTCTGAACAGAGAACAAGAAACTGACACTTCAAGCCAAGGTATGTGCGCCCACTGGTGTGGTTCCACATCCACCTGAAGCATTCAGTTTGTTTTATTCAGGCAAATTATCGCATTGCACAAAGGGGATAATCGATGTCATTCCTGTCAGGGTTAGTAGTGAAATAACTAGGCAGTATGTTGACAGGGGTAAGCTCTTTGGGTTTTCTTCATTGTAAAGCATTTTTTTGAGAAAAGTCTTTTGATCCTCTCAAGATGTCTACGTAAATAAAGGGGAATCCACAATAAAAATAGCTGCTTACTTTTAATTATTTGTAATGTGTAGTTTCCATACAGAAAATTACAAAATTCACTTGCAGACTATAACAAATTATTATATGGATATGTGGGGACATTACTTACCTGTCAAGTGGAACTTGCCCTTATCCCAAAAGCTTGCCACATTCTCCTCCTTAGAAACTAAGGGAATCATTTCTTTTCATCTTTGGTTTTCCTACCACTTTATGAATTCTTAGACTGTATATGTTTATAAAGTTTTTATGGCTTTGAACTTTTATCAATCTGTGTATATTTTTGTGTCTTGTTTTTTTTCCTTCTTCTTCACTTTAATTTTAAATAGCTTGCTTCAAATGTCAATCTTAGTTCCCTCTCCCTCCCCTCCTCCTGCACCCCCCACCATTCCCCCCAGCCTCCCACCCTATCCCCACTGAACCTTTGGTAGCTTCTGGTGGTAGCTGTTGAGGATATCTAGAGTCTGTCATTTCGCTCAGGGCAGGATCCAAGCACTCCCCTAAGAGTCCAGGCTGAGAGATCATCCCTCTTTGTGTTATGGACACACGAAGTCCATTTGTATACCAGGGATAAACACTGATCTACTGCCCAGGATCCCCATAGGCTGCCCAGGCATCCTCACTGACTCTCACTCTAAGGGGATCTGGATCAGTCCCATGCTGGCCTCCCAGCTGTCGGTCTGGGGCCCAAGAGCTCCCCCTTGTTCAGATCAGCTGTCATTGCTGGTTTCGCCAGCCCCTTCTTTGCCCATTTGCTCATCGCTCCTCTCTCCTCTCACACTGGGTTCCATGGGTTCAGTTCAGTGTTTAACTGTGGGTGTTTGCCTCTGCTTCCATCAGTCACTGGATAAAGGTTCTAGGATGGCATATAATGTAATCGTCAAGTTCATTATCAGGAACAGACATTTAGGGTGGTCTCTTCACTATTGCTTAGCTTGCCAGTTGGTGTCATCCTTTTAGATCACTAGAGGTCTCACTGGTGCCAGATCTCGCTTCAAACCTATGACTCCCTCTATTATGGTATTTTTCATCCTGTTCTCCCCCTATTCTACCCCTCACTCAACCTTCCTGTTCCCCTATGACCTACTCTCTCCTCCTCTTCTCCCCCTCTCTTCTTCCCAGCTCCCACTCCCCACCCCCCATGTTCTTAATATGTTCAGGAGATCTTGCCTCATTCCTCTTCCAAGTTTCTACAGCTGTCTGTAAGTTAACTTCTGTTGCTATGGAGAGTTATCTCTAACTGTATGTGCAAATTCTGTGTCTGAACCTTTGGTAGCTTCTGGTGGTAGCTCTTGGGGTCAGAGCTGCTACCAACACTCCTCTGAGATGTCTAATACACATGAACATCTTCCCAGCCTCCTAGGAAGTGAATCATTAGGTCATAGGATGTGTATCTTCAATTTTTTAGATGATGCCCATTGTTTTACTTCTTTATTGAGAGATTGTCATGTCTGCCAGGCTAGCCTGAAGCTTTGTGCAGTCAAGGGTGACCTTAAGTTCCTGGTCCTCTTGTCCCTACTCTCCCAATTCCTGGGGTGATAGGGAAAAACAGTCCTGTTGGTGTGGCCCTCACTAACAAGGTGTGAGTGTTTTGTTGCTTAACATCTTTCCTAACAGCTGGTATTGTCAGACAAGTTGCCAGTCTGCTGGGTGTGTTGTGCACAAGTATTGTGGTTCCCTTTACATGTTCCCTTTACATGTGATTATAGACCAGTTGGATTGTACTTCTGTGTGTGCTTAAGGGTTACTTTCCCACTTCTCATTAGGACATGCTTGAATCAAGCTTGTTAGAGAGGAGTGTTCATCATGTCTGGTGCGGGCTCTTGCTACATCTTTACCCATTGTGTTTCATATAGTTTTAAAGACAGCACAGGTTTGAAGTCACCATGTAGGATATCATTTGTAATTGAAAACCTGAATCAGAGCTGGGTGTGGTGACTCAAGCCTGTGTTCCCAGGATTTGGGAGACTAATGAAGTAGGAAGTTTGCAAAGTTTCTGACCAGTCTGGGTGGGGCGACAGAGTGAGATCTTATCTAAAAGAAAAGGAAAACATAGCAGTAATAGTTGGATGATTATAGTAAGGGTCCCATTGAGTAAGTCCTGTAAATATTGTGTATGACTATCAGAAATCACTTGGAATTTTCACAATGAATGGTTGTTGTTCTGAATATAAAAATATATAAGTTCTTGTCTATAGCATCTTATGAGCATTAAAGTTGCTTATTTTAAGTCTTGCATCCATTAATGCATTGTTACACCTTTGTCATTCCCCTGTGTTTTTACTTCTGAAGGCTTCCTTCATAGCACTCTAGGAAAAAGAAACTTCCTAGAAATTAACAGTTTGAAAGACTGAGAGCAGTTGATGGTTTCTTTGTAGTATTCTCCTACATTGTGGATGAGTTCTTAGGTGCAAAATATTTAGCAATCACACATGAGTTGCCAGGCCATCTTCTAACCCCTTTCTCATTTCCTGTAGAACTCCTCGACTGCAAAATGCAACAGTCTTGCAGGCTGGAGATGCAAGGTCAGCACGATGGCATGACAGACAGAATGGCTGAGCTGTAGGAACAGCTCAGTTCAGAAAGAATGGTGGTTTCAGGATTAAAAAATGAACTTTCACGGATACGGCTGGAGCTAGAAACCACACTGAAGGCCCAGCATGAGCACCTAAAGGAATTGGAAGTATTCAGGTGTGCCTCTGCTTTGATGTGAGGGTCAGAGGGGAACTGTGCTGGCTTGTCATGACCGTTATGTACATAGCACACACAGCAGCAGAAGCATGGGTACATCGATAAAACTGATTTTTTTTTCCAAATTTAAAATGCAGTCATTCAGTCCTTCCCTGTGCTATGATTTCTGTTCCAGTCAGCAGTTATTAGATGTGGTTTTGGTTTTGATCTTGCTACTGACTGACTTTAGGTGATGTGTCATCTCATGCTTCAGTTGGCTAGTAACTGCCAGGTGTTTGAATTGAGCACGCATGGGGAAAGGATGTATTACTGATATAAATACTGAGATATGCTGCTTCCCAGAGGCATGCTGCGAGTACACACGTTTTGACTTTTGACGTTGATTCACACACACAAATTCACATGATTTCTGTGTGCAGTCAAAGACAAAAGGTTTTAGTTATTATTTTCTTTTTTTCAATGCATTGAGTTATTATTTACAATAGTAAGTAAACCGCACTATTAGAAATTCCAGTTCATTTGAAGTGAACCAGCCATGAAGCCTTGACTTGACACACTGTAGTGATTATAATATGCCTCAGTATTGGAGTGCAAGTTCCTTTTTATGATGGTACTGTTCATCAAAATAATGTTAAGTTCATGTGTTTCCTTACTTAGACTAAAGGCAAATGAAGTTCATTTGCTTAGCGATACATTAGCAAGAGAACGGAAGAAATCCCAAGAACTTCAATGTGCCTTGGCAGCAGAGAAAGCCAAGTCAGGCCATGACGAAGAACAGGATAAAGAACTTAAGGTATTTAATTGTGCCTTCATATATAAGTATCTAAAATGTGAAACTACGTTCCATTAATGTGTTGAAAGGTTAGCATAAGAAAACACATATTTTAAAGATTGTCATTTGGAGAAATGTACTCTGCTTTATATTTAGCTGAAGAAGGTTGTGTTTATATCCTTGATGCAAGCAAGCCATTTGGCTGTCTGAGCAGTTTCCACTGTCTGCTGGATAACATGTCTGTCGTCAATTACCAAATACTTCCCTGTTGCGGTAACCAAATCCATTGTCACATACTTTAACAGTATTTTTAAGATTAACATGTTCATCTAAATTACATTTTCCCTCCAAGGCTCTAAGATCCACTCTAGAAGAGCAGAAACAGAGGAACATACACTTAGATGAACTTTTGGAACAACAGAGGCAATTACTAAATGATTTGCAACAACAAATAGAATCACAGAGAATGCTATATGATACGCAGTTGTCAGAAGAACAAGGCCAGAACTTAGAGCTTCAGGTTCTTCTGGAGTCTGAGAAAGTTAGGATCCAGGAGATGAAGGACACCCTAGACAAGGAGCGGGAGCTGCACAACAATGGGGTGCAGCCCCGGCCAGGCTTCCCTCCTGGGGAGCTACTTCAAGAGCTGCAAGATCAGTTAGAGGAAAAGCAGAAACGCATAATCAAACTCGTGAATGAAACTCAAAAGTACAAACTGGATTCCTTGCAAGTGAAACACCAGATGGAGAAGGACAGGCAGGTTCACCAAAAGACACTGCAGGTGGAAAAAGAAGCGAACAGCCTGGGCCAGCAGAAAATGGAGGAGCTGCAGCGCAAAGTGGAGGAGCTGCAGCGCCAGCTGCAGGAGAGCAGGCAGCAAGTGCACAAGCTCGACCTGGAAGGGGAGAGGTTTCACAGGCTGATGCAGGGGTTCCAACAGCGGGAGAAGGAGCGGGAGTGCACCGGAAAACGCCAAAGTGGACAACTCCTGTGTCAGAACATTAGTGAGGTGAATGTTTGTTTCTTTCAAATGTGTACAAGGACAGGAGAGACAGCTCAGTGTGCCATATCTGCAGACCTGGGCTCAGTTTCATATCAATGCCCACAGACCTCCAAATGCACCCTGTGGTATGTGGCTATCTGCACACACAAAATGATAACTTTTGTTTTTGAAGTTATGAGTAATTTTAGTATTTTAAGATAACCTCAGTATTTTATAATATTTTAAAACTTAAATATATTACTGAATTATTTAAATAGCTATATTCATGACATCTCAAAAATAGTGTCTGTAGAACTTTATTTGGAATTTGGATAGTAATTTTGTTCCCTCAATAAAGAAAATGAAATGATGCTCATTTGTGAGTATTTTCTTTTTCTGTCCAAAATTGCCAGGGTTCTACTTGGAGTTTTACTGATGACAGAACTAGAAATTGGGTTCTTCAACAGAAAATGGAAGGAGAGAGCAAAGACACAAGCTATGCAAAATTGATGGAAATGAATAGAGAAAAGGATGACTCTAATAATGACGTGGAAATTATCAGACAGAAACTTCAGCATGTGGCTACGAAACTTCAACAACATATAGCCCAGAAAGCCTGTGACAGGTTAGACTTCAGCCTGCTCTATAGAAATGATACTCTTGACAGGTCAGGCAAGAGTAAGAAAATGCTGGATATTGGTTTTGATCTCTTTTGTTCAGACTGCATCTTACTATGTAGATCTGGCTGACCTAGAATTCACCAGGCTGTCCTCAAACATACAGGGAATCTTCCTGCCTCTGCTTTCTGGGAGTAAATGCATATAACACCACACCCATACCAAAGGAGAAGTATTGTAACGAAAATGCATGTCCACGTTAGCAGAACTTATACATCTGAAAACAGCTAACACCTTGAACCAGAAAGGGGGAATATTTAAGAGTAAAGTGAGAATTGAAACAGAGTGGCCCTTAGCCTCTAATGTGTGTTAGTGACACAGAGCAGCCCTTAGCCTCTAATGTGTGTTAGTGACACAAACAGAGCAGCCCTAGACACTAATGTGTGTTAGTGAAACAGAGCAGCCCTTAGCCTCTAATGTGTGTTAGTGAAACAGAGCAGCCCTTAGCCTCTAATGTGTGTTAGTGACACAAACAGAGCGGCCCTGGACACTAGTGTGTATTAATGACACAAACGGAGCACCGCTAGGCTCTAGTGTGTTCGGAAGTGTTATTGGGAGGTCTGTTTTAATTTTTGTCTTTTTCTTAAAGACTAGAGGTTGAAGTATCAGATAAAGATGCTTTAATTTGGGTTCAAGAAAGAATTGATCGAATTATTTTTCGAGTACAGAGACTAAGGGACCGACAAGAAGATGAGGTAAGACTTTTTCAAGTTCTTTGTAGAGAGAAAAAAATCAAATGAAATCATGAACTGTTTAAAAATTGGTAGACTATTTTGTAAGAGTTTTGATCATATTTGTTTGCACAGTGTTTCTCTTCCCCAACAAGAAGAAATGCAAGTTGGGGGGGAAATTACCATTCATGCTGTTGGTGTATAATTAACCTCTTATAAAGAGACCCAGCTTCTTGAGAATATGGTTTGGCTTCCCTGTCCTCCCACTCAAGAGCTCAGAATCAGTCCTGTCTGGCATCCTCACGGGTAACTGTTCTGCGGAGCCTCTTCACTCCCACTCTCTGACATTGTACATTTGACACTTTCGACTTCTTTAGGAAGTATTTCTGTTTTTCCTTTTGTTGGTTGTGTTATTGTTTTCCTATACACGTGTCTCTGTGTAACCCTGGCTGTCATGTAGACCAGGCTGGGCACGATCTCAGAGATCTGCACACCTCTTCCTCCAGAATGAAGGAGTAAAGGCGTGCTCCACCAAGACCTGCTGTACTCACTTTGTGAAACCCCGTTTTCCTTGTGTTGTCTGTCAGTGATCTCCCTTCGCCTGCCTCGGTTAGGTCTGTCTGCCTGGCTTGTTTCTGCATGCATCGTGTTCCTCCCAGGACTGTAAACCTCCCAGAACCCTACATGAGCTCTTGTTGGCCTTGCTGAGCACCTGCTGTGTTCCAAGTGCAGCTTGAGGTCCTAGGGATTTAGTAGACAAAGTGACAAGAATTTTGCCCTTGTGCAGTTACTGTCTACTGGACTGTTGTGGTGTAGGCCTTTTACTGTGACCCAGGCTCATATTTTCAGTTAGCTACTGGACATCTTTGGGTAAATGTTCCTAGTGGTGACCACTTAGGAGCCTCACAGACACAATCAAACCTAAACATTGTCTTCTGCTGTACCTCTGTTCTTCATACCCCTTTGCTGGTTACGGTCTCACCCAGTTTGGAAGGCTGGAAGTCACCACAGACCATGTTCCTTCTCTCTTACCTGTACATGTAAGCAGTGATAAGCCATGTAAATGTCCACTCATGTGCCCTTTACTCCGCGCCCCTAGTCACTGCCTCGGAATTTCTTATGTAAACTGTTAGAACTTCCTATCCATACAGCCAGGGATCATGGACGTGCACCTTCCCCAAGCTGTTCTGCCTTGCACACTGCTGCCAAAGGCCTCTTGCAAACATGTACAGTTTGTCTGTGGTAGCCCCTCCTAAAGTCTTCCTCGGCTCCTGGTTGACTTGTTTAGGTCTGTCGTCATAAACGCAGCAACATTTAGTGTGTCTAAGCACCTCTAGCTCTTTGAGAGAAGCATCTTTCATGACTTTTGCCCATCTCTGTGGGCTGTTCCTGCTTCCTGTTCCTGCCCAGCTGTTGGCCTGCGTGGCACCTGCTGCCTGTGCCCCTCCTGCTTCCTCTGCTCTCCCAGGCTGTTTGCCTGCCTGGCAAGTTTCTACTATTGGTAAGTGTCAGTTCATGGAGTCTGTTTGTGTCAGCACTTGTTTACTTTAATATAAGGTTCTCCTGTACATGCGCATCTGCATAACTTTGTGTCTTTTTTTTTTCTTCCCAGCACAGCTTAGTATCCTCAAGTTCCTCTTGTGGCTCTCTAATAGAAATGACTTTGAAACAGAATTCTGAACTAACCGGACATATTAACCAACTAACTGAGGAAAAGAATCACTTACGGAACATTATCATGCAACTGGAAGAACAGATAAAGTTTTATCAGCAGACAAGAACTGGTAGAAGCTGTGTAAGTTTGTTTTTAGAAGTAATTCAAAGTTCTTCTCTTTAGTTCTACTTTTAACCATAGTGTAAATAATGTCATGTACTTCTCTTAGTAGGATATGTGGAAAGTATTATACATGAAGACAATAATAAAATTACCAGTTATTGAGGGACGCTTCTTTACCACCCTCTGGGTTATATACAAGCAGAATTGCTCAGATGCATCCAGTCTTGTCCACAAGGAAACCAAGTCATATTCAGTCTAAGATCTAAATATGTCTGTGTTGCCTGAAAGCAGACACAGTGAAAGACATGTCCAAATGTAAATACTGATTGTTGTCTCTTCAGTTACTAGTTACTAGGTTTATAACCAAGTCAAAAATGATGTTAATCTGGGCAGGGCATCACATTCCTTTAATCCTAGCACACAGGAGGCAAAGACAGATAGATCTCCGTGAATTCACAGCTACTCCAGTCTACATACCAAATCTCTAGGTCACTAGTGAGACCCTTTCTTTAAATAAAAATAAATAAAAATAAAAAACTTATACATTTCAGGATAGTAACTTACTCTCTGAATTCAAACTGTATTTACCCTTATATTTAAAGGTAGAAAAGGCTGTCAAAACAACCACATAGCCATGTAAGTAACTTGTTCCTGCGGCCACCCTGAGACTCACTCACACATATCCATGCTGGCTTCTGTTACTACAGTGATAGAGAGATTCAACAGACTGTGAGCTTCTTGTCGTATTAGAAGGCCAAAGCTAGGTAATCCACTGTGATGTCGTTCAGTCATCTTGAAAACGTTTGACAGGCTATGTCTGTGCAGTCCTCTAGATTTTCACTTGATCGCGGTGCTAACATCGAGGACATCATTGCTTCAGAAAAGGAAGTCTGGAACAAAGAGAAGTTGGCTCTTCAGAAATCCCTGAAAAGGGCAGAAGCGAAAGTGTGCGAACTGAAAGCAGAACTGAGAAATGATGCCTTACATCAGAATCAGAGCCCTGACTCCGAGAACGCTGCCTTCAAGGTACACACCTCCCTCCTGCTGGCCCTGACTGAACAGACCACACAAGCATAGTTGCCTCTCAGAGCCTGTCCTTAGGCAGCTCTTTTCAATCTGCTATGGTACAATGTCTACCCAATCACAGATCTGTAGAGAGGCACACCCAGACTTGCAACACATTCAGCTCTGCTTTTCTTGCTGTCAGCAGTGTGATCCTATTCCCCAGAGTGTGGTGTCCTACTAGATGAGCAGAAGTGTTCTCTTTCAGTTCCTAAGCACAGCTCTGTGACTGTCCATGGAAGAGCATCATGCCTCGTGAGATGAAGGCAAAGTAAAGCTGCCTTGCTCAGTTAACCCAAGTCCAAAGTAGAAAGGAAGAAAAGTAGCTGAAGTGCGCATACAGAGACGGAAAACACTAACTTGTTTGTGAACCTAAATGCATGAGGGACCGTAATTTTAAAAAAATGTCAGTATTTTAAAAACCTACACAATAACGGCCAGAATGTTTGCAGTAAATTTAAAAGGGCTGGGCGCAAATAAGCACAAAGCATAACTGGTTTTAGAAGTTGTACGCCAAAGGCTGTCTCCTGTCAGCTTGACTGACACAGTAGTTGAGAGTCTAGGGCCTAACGCTTGCTTTCTTTTTTCATCTACTTAGTCTTCCTCTAGAAAACACCTCAAGTGACTTCTCTGATATCTTTGTCTTCCCTTCTTTAAATATAGAAAATTTATGGTAAATACTTGAGAGCTGAAAGTTTCCGAAAAGCTCTTGTATTTCAGAAGAAATACTTGTTGCTGCTCCTGGGGAGATTCCAGGAGTGCGAAGATGCCACCCTGGGGCTGCTTGCCCGCATGGAAGGATACTCAGGGTTTAGAGACGCTGAGATGGTCCCCGGCCGAACAGAAGGACTCACCAGGTTTCGAACTGCCATTAGAGTGTCTATCGCAATTACTAGGTGAGTTGTGAAGACAGTTCATTTCAATCATAAGCCTTCTAAGAGGACACATGTGAAGAAGGCGCTGTAGACACCTGCGTTTTTCTTTCTAGGTTTTCACCCTTGCAACACAGTCTTTTCCTTCAAAGTGTCTTCTTCGGTATTAGTAGCTGATGACTCCAGTTCATGTTGTTTAAAAAAAAAAATCCAAATAAACCCAGCTCACACACATAGTTCATAAACGGGGAAAGATGTTTTTGAAAAGTTACTTAGGCCGGTACATGTATTTATTTTCTTCCTTGTTAAAATAAGTCACCACAGTGCTGAACTGAGGAAGGGGGCCAGGCTGGGAACCTGGCGTCTGCCCTGCACGTGGCTGCCTTAGAGTGACATGACGACCCCAGCCGTTTCCACTCCTGGCCTACTGAAGTCTTGATCTGGGCTTCTCCCTGCGTCCCTCCCCTTTTGTCTCTCCACATCCAGAGTTTTGTTTTTTTAAAAAGTTCTGCAGTCAGCTGACATCACACACCACTTCAGGGGGCCTGGCTGGTTTTCCTTTCCTTTACTATTCTTTTTTAATTCTTATGTGTATTCATGTTGTACCCGTGTGTATCTGTGTACCACATGTGTGCCTGGAGCCTGTGGAGGCCAGAAGAGACAGTCATATCACCTGGGACTAGGGTTAGAGTCCCTTGCGAGCCACCATATGGGTGCTGGGAAGCAGATGGGGCTCCTCTGGAAGAACAGCCATTGCTTTTAAGCACCGAGCCATCTCTCCAGCCCTTACTTCATTTTCTTTGGAAAATAAGGCACAGGTTTTTATCTGGTAGCTCCTCAGGGGTCACTGCCAAGAAACTTAGTTCCCAGATGGACCAAAAAGAGGTGACGAGCTCAGAGAGGCTCAGCCTGTGTCTGCTCCAGCAGCTCTGCATAGGAGCTAGGGTTTGCCTTACTGCTGGCTTCTGACCTGCCTGCCTCTTGCAGTCCTCCCTGTAGCTTTCTGGCTTCTCATTCCCTTCTTCAGCTGGTATAGGATAAGCTAGGGGTGAGCTCAATGGAATTCATGGATAAAGACAGCACTGCCTAATGGCAGCTCCCATCCTACTGGGTGGGAGTAGAATACATGGGACATACAGACACTACGTGGTCTTCTGAGGTGACAGGGGTCAGCCTGTAATGCAGAGAAATCCCAGAAGGCTCCACGGAGGAAGGAAGCTGCTGTCAAGCTCTCACTAAGTCACTGGAACTCACTGTGTATTCCAGACTGGCCTCAAGGTTGCAGAGATCCCCTGCCTCTTCCTCTCCCGTGCTGGGATTAAAGGTGTGTGCCATGAAACCTGGCACATCCCTCCCTTTTTGCCCTGATGCGGGTTTGTTGTATTTTAACCCTCCTTAAGATGGACCCTGAAATTGGCATTAAGAAATTTTTTCTATTTTTTTCAGTTTTTTTAAATTTCATTTTTCATTCCAACCACAGTCCTCCCTATCACCCCTCTGCCAACACCCCACACTTCTCCCCTATACCTCATCCAGTCCACTCCTCCTCACAGGTAAGGGCTCCCATGAGGAGTCAGCAAGTCTGGCACAATAGGTTGGGGCAGGGCCAGGCCCTTCTCCCATGCATTAAAACTGACCATGGCCTTCCACCATAGAGAATGAGCTCCAACAAAATAGCTCACGTACCAGGATTTTTTGTGGTCCTACTGCTAGGGACCCTCTGACAGTCCAAGCTTCACAACTGTCTCCCACATACAGAGGGCCCGGAGTCTCCACAATTGTAGGTCTAGAGTTCATGAGTTTCCACAGGCTTGGGTCAGCTGTCTCTGTGGATTTCAACATCATGGTCTTGACCTCTCTTGCTCCTGTATTCCCTCATCCCTCCCTTGGACTGGATTCCCAGTGCTCACACTGGTTCTTGGGTGTGGTTCTCTGTGTCGGTTTCCATCAGTTACTGATGAGGGCTCTATGATGATAGTTGGGGTATTCATCAATCTGATTGCAGGGTTAGGCCAGTTCAGGCATCCTCTCTACTATTGCTATCAGTCTTAGCTAGGGTCCTCCTCGGGAGTTTCCCTAGCACCAGGTTTCTCCCTAAGCCCATAGCAGCTCTCTCTATTGAGACATCTCTTTCATTACTCTTCCACTGTATCCCTTCCGGCCTAGGCCATCTCCTTCTCAATGTTCATAGTAACATTGTCTGTAATAGCCAGAACCTAGAAACGACCTAGGTGATCCTCAACTGAAGAACGGATAAGGAAAATGTGGTATATCTACACAACAGAATGCTACTCAGATAAAAAATTGATGACCTAATGAAATTTTCAGGTAAAGAGATGGAACTAGAAAAATCCATCCTGAATGAGGTAACACAGACTCAGAAAGACAGACACCGTAACACTCACTCCTAAGTGGATATTAGATGTAAAGCAAAGGATAACCAGACCAAAGCCCAGAGCTGCAGAAAAGCTGTGGAACAAGGAGGACCCTAAGAGGGACACATGGATCACCCTGGGAAGGGGAATGGAGGAGGTCTGAGTGGTCAACTGGGAGCGAGTGGGGTGGTGAGGGGGAGGGCAGGGGAGATGAGAACAGGAGGGAATGAGATGGCATTAAGAAATTAAAACTGGTACTCCAAAAGGTCCACGGTGCAGGGCAGGACGGGCAGTCAGCAAGGAATCCAGCAGGCTGGTGGCACACCCCACTCCTTTTGGAGCCAGCAGCATTATTCCTGCGCACAGGGAGGGTCTACCACTCCCCGTCTCCCTGGCCTCTTCTCCCTGCCTGTGGAGATTTGCTCACTTCCCTCATCTGCCTGACTCTGCTCTTCCCTCCTCTTTCTTGTACCTTTCATCCTTTCTTTGTCCACGTCTCTTCTGTTCACTCTGGCTCTTCATCTTCTTCTGCCCCACTTAGTGGCCATGTTAGAGACATTGGCCTGTGGGGGAGTGAGGCACGCTCACAGCTCTGCCCTGTACCTGTGACGTGGCCATAAATCAATGGAGTATGTGCAGGTAACTGAGGAAGTCATGTGATTGTGGTTAAATATGTTCATAATTAAATGGCATTATTTTGAGGGGCTTGTATATTTATATTTATATAGCTGTGCTTTGAAACTTTATATTGGGGTCTCTTTTAGAATGAAATATTTGGTTCGGCGGTGGCATCGAGTCAAAAATGCTGGTCCCATCAATATTAACAGGGATGATTTTGGATTGAGTCCAGGTAAGGTCTAAAATGGCATAGTTTCTGTGTATCTCTCTGAAATTGCTGTGTGTGTAGCAATGGCCAAATGACTAATTCTAATGCTGATGCTGTCCAAAGACCTTGCACACCCTTTAAGCAAGTCTAGGAACTTCATTTTTAAGAATTAGAGACTGACTTGTGGAATACTTAGACTGCACCAGGCCCATTTTTTTCTTCAGGGGTTCCCCCAAGCCTGTTACTGTTACTTATACTGAGCCATGGAGAACACATGCCATTTGCCTCAGATTATCCAGCGTGGAAATAGTGGAGCCAGGGCTGAAGAGCTTTGCTGTTGGTCATGTGGAAGAATTGTGGTTTGAAGTTTTTACAACGTAGCATTATATTTCTGTGCTTACGTGGCTGTGTAACAATGGGAACCTTAAATTCCTTGTTTCCACAGCTAGAACCCAGTAGGGAAAATGTTAGGACAGGAACAATTCTAGGTGTAAGAAGGTCAAAACCTGGAGGGCACAGAACACAGGACACTGTGATGTCAGTGCCAGCCTCACCCAGGGGTTGTGTGCGGAGCTTCGGAGAAGGAAGCATGTCTGGTGCCCTGAGAGTACTTGAGGATAGCCTTACACTGAGACGAACTCTTTACCATAGTGACTTGAGGATAGCCTTACACTGAGACGAACTCTTTACCATAGTGACTTGAGGATAGCCTTACACTGAGACGAACTCTTTACCATAGTGACTTGAGGATAGCCTTACACTGAGACGAACTCTTTACCATAGTGACTGTGGTGGCACAAAGTTAGCAGATCTCGATTTCTTGGGTGTCTTTTCTGGTTCTGTTTTGTTTGTTTCCAATAAACATAGCACTGATGATAAGACTCAGTTACATTATTGTAATGTTTTATCCACATTATCTCCACACACACCCCAAAACCTCACACACCCAGAAACCCTTCCCCCATTGATCTTTTTACAACTGAAGTATTTTACAAAGAAAACATTCCAGTGAGTTTATTTTCTTTGAAGCATAGCTCTTAAGTCATGTTCGAAGGAAAAACGGAAAACCACTGAAAGGCTCTTTGGTTTATACTGTTCTCTATTAGCAAGAATGAAAACTAGCTGTAGACAGCAGATAGTATCACATACTGTTCTTTTAAACCCTAACTGGTTTTCTGTCTGTCTCCCGAGGCTGGTTACTCTTTCCTTTACAATGCTATACTTTGGGTTTCTTTAGGTGTTGAAAAGACCGATCCACTCTATCACTCTACCAGTGGACTGGAACTATGTGAAGATCCAAGACATATGACATGCCGCTCAAGATCCGACCTAGATTTCCCTAGGTCTCCCTTATCATTCAATAGGTAAGAATTTTTCAAACCTGGCTGGAGTAGATACAGTGTTTCAGAGAGGAGGAGACACTGTTAGGACTTAGGAGTGCTTTGCATTATTACAGCTAGACATCTTAGTTATATGTAGTTTCTGTGTCTTAAAACTTAGGATCAGAGCAACTTTTTACTTTCTAAATGGTTCCTAAAGGCATAGGAAACATATGCTGTAGTTATAAATACACGCTATAGTTAGATATTGGAAATGCATTAATCACCATCCACTATTAAAATAAACTGCACATGCTTGAAAAGATGGTTTCCACATGTCCATCATTACTGAGCAACTCTGCAGGCTTGGTCCTGGGCCTTCTTCTGACAATGGCATCTCTTATTTTCTATTGATGAATTACTTCCTTGTTCTCTGTTTAGAAGTCTGGGACTGTAGATGAGGCAGTGTAGAGATCAGGGAAGAGGCAGGCTGGTAAGTTAGCTGTGTTGTTTCTGGCGAATTGGATTCCTGAAAATAATTCTAATCCATAGGTACCCAGGAACTCTTGCTGATTTAAATGCTGCATCCCTGACCTCCCCTCAACTCCAGCATTACAATCCTGGCAGAACTCTGACAGATTATGTCACCCAGATGGATGCACTGCAAAGACGACTTGGGTCTTCATCACATTCAGGTGCTGTGTGAGACTCTCACTCTTCAACATGTTCCTGTGGGTTAATCGAATGCTGTAGCTCGGTGCATAAGCTCCCAGGTTGTCCCAGCTTAAGCACTGACCAGCAGACCCTGACAGAAAGATTTGGTGCTGTCTTCTTTGGATTAGACAAGATGCCCATGGTAGAACCTGCTCCTCATAGGGTAGAAAGCAGGAAGGTGTACAAGGCAGCGCAAGGCCGGCCCTAAGCAAGCAATGCAGCCACTGTCCCCATTCCTGATCGTCCTCCTACATGCCATTTATACAAGCCGTGCCTGGAAAGAGACTGTAAGCATCATCGTTCCTCTCCTCGAAAGCTCAGTGTCACTCATTCGGCAAAGGAGGACTTTAAAGGGCCAGAGAAATGGCTCAGCAGGTAAAGGCCCCAGCCTCCATGCCAGAGTACCCAAGTTCAGTCACTAGGACCCACGAGGTAGGAGAGGAGCAACTCCCACAAGCTGCCCTCTACCCTGCACTGGGAGACATCATCTCCACACACAGATGAAAATGCAGTTTTTAAGATATTCTTACAGATAGACTTTGTAAGAATTATCTTTAATTCTTTGAGATTGTACACAAAGTTTACACTTCATAGAGAGGCAGAGTCCATTCATCACGGGAAAACTTCCTGTCTTACTTCACTCACTGCTGTCCCAAAGGCTGAGTCATTTCAGCTCGTTACCTGGCTAGGAGTCCACTTGGATGTTTTGTTTTTTAATTATTTAATCTGTACATGAGTGTTTTGCCTCCATGTGTGACTATGTATCACATGTCAGTACCTGCAGAGGCTAGAAGAGGTATCAGATCACTTAGGAGCAGAGTTTCCGAGGATTGTGAGCTGCCATGTGGGCGCTGGGAATGAAATGCAGGTTCTCAAATGAGCAGCCAGGGTTTTCTAAGCCGTGTCTCCAGCCCCTGATCACTCTCAAGATCTCTATTTCTGTGAATACCACATACTGAGGACTACAGTGATCTACAGTTATTTTAGCCCTTTATTCAAGAAGTCATTTCTTTAACCCAAGCCACCTTCAGAGCAGTCATAAAACACATTAACATTGCCTCAACTCCCTTGCTGTAGGGCCAGACATGGTGACTTCTAAATGTTGTCAGCCTCTTAGAACTAAGTTCAAGTTATGGGGACTGAAGAAATGGCCCTTTGTGACAGGACACATACCGTTGTTCTAGAGGACTATGGCTGGTTCCCGGGACCCAGAGTCAAACAGCTCACAACTCTCTTGTAAACTCCAGCTTCAGGGGATCCAGTGCTTTAGGGCATCCTTATGCTGTACTCAGTAGTACGCATGTGCACACACACACACAAGCACAAAAATCTTTAAGAAAAATTGATGTTCAGGTCTGAAGTCATCGGGTTTGTTTTCATTGTTTTACATTTATGTGTGTGTGAACATCTGTGTAACAGCATGCATGTGACTATGAAAAAAACTTTCAGAAACTTGTCTTTCCACTGTACGGATTCCAGGGATCAAACTCGGATTGTCAGGCTTGACAGCACCTTCGGGATTGAAGCATCTCACTGCCCCCAACATTTTGAGATGGTTTTAAACTAATCATCTGCCTTTGTGAACTGGCTGCCCTGATATAGGAGCAATCTAACTGTCTTGTTTTTTATGTTACAGGTTCACCGGCTTTGCAGTTTCATACTGGCATGAGGAGATACTCTTCTGAAAAAAGTATTAACCGAATTTCAAATAGATTCCCTTTTGTAAATCAATGGCTCTTTTGTGCTTTTTTATTGTGAATATTCAATGGGACCAATACAGACACAGCTTATGATTGTATACAAATCCTTGCAAGCACATAAAGACAAACTGGAGTTTGTGTATATAAGCATTGTGTGTTCGTGCACAATAAGCATTAAATTACATGTATATTTGTGGAATGCTAATTTAAATGATTAAATTATAACATGAGATGGGTGAAAAGAATAAACTTTTTCTAATGATGCTGCTAGATGTGTAGCTTGCAGTGTCCTGCGCTTTTCTTACAAGGCTACATGTTTCTGCCTAATATATTTGCTGCTGGTGATGAAGACAGAACGCATCACTCGTAGACACCTATTTTTGTATAATGGTAGAAGTTTGAACTTTACTGGGGTATTTTGTCAAGTACTGAAATAAAAATGACTTCACCATTTAACCATACTGTATTTGAACCTTCTTCATTTGTATCTAAGCCACAGCTCAGCTCATGGTGCATGAGATCTAGTAGTGGGTATCTCTCCTCCATTACAGAACATTTTCAGTGTGCCTTTGTATGAACTATCCTTAAGTGTTTTCAACCCATAAATTGGCATTCTCATGATTAGTCCTTATTTTCTTACATTTAGTGTTCTTCCGTCCACACATGCCTCCTCACAAATCTAGACACGGAAATCAGCCCCAAAAATATTAAATTGTATCAATAAGATCCCTACTAAAACAGCATTGTCTAAAATGGCAGTGCTATTGTTTACATCCTGGAGATACTGTTTCATGATCAAAGATCTTTGACTTGTAGGGAACACGAACATAAAGTTGTACATTGCTGGGAATTTCTAATTAATGCTCTTTCCCGTGTTAACAACTAAGCTTTCTAGAAAATAGGAAGACAACTACTTTGAGGAGAAAACTGTGCATAAAAACCTTTTAAAGCTAATACAGTTGCCAAGTCAAGGCAATTCTATGGGAGAAAAGGCAGGGGGACAAGTGCTTGCCAGCTAAATCCACTCCACAGGATGGACTGTCAACCCTCCTATGGCCTTAGGCTTCTGCTGTGTTAGTCTCAGTCTAGTGTGTGATCAGAAGCATCTGTTGAATTCCAGTGCTATATTTAATTCTAAAACTAGTCAGTAAACAGAGCAGCCTTACTCAAGGGTCACAACTCTGCCACAAATCAAAGTCTAGAACCCTTCTCAAACTGATGAAGACAAAATATCTAGGTTTGCAAGGAAAATCAATTATATAAAAACAGTCATCAAACTTTAATAAAAGCAGTGATCTAATGCATGTAAATGCATCATCTATGATATAGAAGTGGTCTCCTAACTACCATAGCAAAGGAGAGAAAAGCATATTTTGAGAGGTCAGCATCTGTTGTGAACATACCTGATTTCTCATGGGGAGCTGATAATGCTAGTGACTTGCCTAAATTCATGGCTGAAGGCAATACCAACGGGAAGTTAATTCATACAAACAGGATGTACGTTTCCAAGTTCTCAGATCCTTCAAACTGCACATACTGAAGGACACGCTTCAAATCCATGAATAGACTATTGAGGTTTTTCTCATAGAGAATTTTAGTGTGAAACTACTAACAGCAGAGATTTGAACCTTCATACAAAGTCTTCAATGAAGTAGTCAAACTCCTTATCAGGGAGGGGTATTTAAGGTATTTTCTCCACTATTGCTTAGTTTACCATTTGGTGTTATCCTTGTAGATGTCTGGAAATCTCACTAGTGTCAGATCTCTCCTCAAACCTATAATGACTCCCTCTCTTATGGTATCTCTCGTCCTGCTCTCCTCTGTTCTTCCCCTCACTCAGCCTTCCTTTTCCCCCCATGTCTTCTTCTCCCTTCCTCTTCTCCCCCTCTCTTTTTCCCAGCTCCCTCTTACCTCCCCACATGCTCCCAATCTGCTCAGAAGATCTTGCCTCATTCCACATCTCTGGGGTACCATGTATATATCTCTCTTAGGGTCCTACCTATTTCCCAGACTCTCTGGCAGTGGGATTGTATGCTGGCACTCCCTTGAGCCATGTCTAAAATCCATATATGAGTGAGTACATACCATGTTTGTCTTTTTGTGACTCTGCCACCTCACTCAGGAAGGTTTCGTCAAGTGCCATCCATTTGCCTGCAAATTTCAAGATTCCATGAAATTTTCTGCTGTGTAGTACTCCATTGTTTAAATGTACCACATTTTCCCAATCCGCTCTTCAGTTGAGGGGCATCTATGTTGTTTCCAGGTTCTGCCTATTACAAATAATGCTGCTATGAACCTAGTGGAACAGACGTCCTTGTTGTATGAATGTTCGTCTTTTGGGTATATACCTAAGACTGGAATTGCTGGTTCTTGAGGCAGACTGATTCCCATTTTCCTGAGGAATCTCCATACTGATTTCCAAAGTGGTTATATGAGTTGGCACTCCCAGCAGCAATGGAGGAGTGTTCCCCTTTCTCCACATCTTCTTGAGCACAAACTATCACTGGTGTTTTTGATTTTAGCAATTGTGACAGGAGAAAGATGGTATCTCAGAGTTGTTTTGATTTGCATTTCCCTGATGGCTGGGGATATTAACAGTTTCTCAAGTGTCTCTCAGCCATTTCAGAATCCTCTACTGAGAATTCTCGATTTAATTCTGTAGCCCACTTTTTAATTGGATCCTTTGGTGGTTTGGATGCTTGCTTCTTAAGTTCTTTGTAAATTTTGGAGATCAGCCCTCTGTCAGATGTGGGGTTAGTGAATATGTTTTCCCATTCTGTGGGTTGTCTTGTTGACTGTGTCCCTAGCCTTACAAAAGCTTCTCAGTTTCAGGAGATCCCATGTATTGTCGACCTCAGTGTCTGTGCTACAGGTGTTATATTCAGAAAGCACTCTCCTATAACCAATTCGTTCAAGGGTACCTCTCTCTTTCTCTTCTAAGAGGTTCAGTATGGCTGGATTTATGTTGAGGTCTTTGATCTATTTGGACCTACGTTTTGTGCATGGCGATAGACATGGATCTATCCGCATTCTTCTACATGCCAGCATTCAGTTATGCCAGCACCATTTGTTGAAGATGCTTTATTTTTTCCATTATATAATTTTAGCTTCTTTGTCAAAGATCAGGTGTTCATAACGTGTATGGGTTAATACCGGGGTGTCCAATTCCATTCCATTGGGCTACCTGTCTATTTTTGTGTCTATACCAAGCTGTTTTCAGGACGATAGTGCTATAATAGAGCTTGAAGTCAGGGATGGTAATGCCTCCAGACGTTGCTTTGTTGAACAGGGTTGTTTTGACTATCCTGGGTCTTTTGTTTTTCCATATAAAGTTGATTATTGTTCTTTCAAGGTCTGTGAAGAATTGTGCTGGGATTTTGATGGGGATTGCATTGAATCTGTAGACTGCTTTTGGCAGGATTGCCATTTTTACTACGTTGATCCTACCTATCCAAGAGCATGGGAGATCTTTCCATTTTCTGGTGTCTTCTTTAATTCCTTTCTTTAAAGAATCGTCCTAAAATCTAATGACTGGAATTCTCTTAATTTATAAGACATGTTGATTTCCAAGAAGGAGAGGATGTGATTGGGTTTGTACATTCCTTCTCAAATCAGAACTAAAATGGCTTGAATTTTGTGCTGGTCTAACTCAGGTGAAATGTATCTTCTTTGGGTATTTAGTATTTACAATAGTCTGAACACTTGTAGGCCAGCAAGATTGATTTCTCTCCAAACCATCAGTAGCCATAGCACCATCCAGCAGTTTTCCTAGCAAGAGTAACACAAAACATTTCTATTTAGAATAAATGTGTTTTATTCTGAATATAAAGCCTACATGGGACGTTGTTCACAACTATTTGGGAGCTGAATTCATATGCCATGACTACTTAGTGGTATAAACATCCTTGGAGACCTGAAATTTGTGTTCATATACTCTATTAGTCAGACATTAGCTGCATTGTCTTATACTATTGGCCTTTAATATCCTTTGTAATAGTAGCAACACCTTAAATTTCTCTGATTTCATTTAGATTATATGCCACTTTGATTATATGTTCTTTGTCTCTTTTTTGGGGGAGGTTTGAGACAGGGCTTCCCTGTGTATTTCAGGAGGCAGTCCTGAAACTCCTTCTGTAGACCATGCTGCTCTCAAACTCACAGAGATCCCCCTGCCTCTGCCTTCTGAGTGTCACCAACTCCGCCCTATGTCTCTGTTTTTTAAAGGTCTTTCACTTTGAAACTTAAACAAAGCCACCCTATTTTATTGAAGACATTATGTGAATGCATATTTAGTCCATTGATTCTCCACTACTGAGACAGAGAGGAGGCTCAGTGGGGAAAGTGACTGCCACACAAGTGTGAGGACCAGAGTTTGCATCCCAGTCTTATTAACATTGAGCAGGCCCAGCAACATGCCTGGATCCCAAGCTCAAGAGGCAACAGCGGGTGGGATCTGTGGAGCAGGCTGGCTAGCCACATGACATAAAGGAGTTCTTGTTCCCTTGGAAACAGCTGGTTGCCAAGGGAACACGCATCTGCTCCTTTATGACATAATCCCCGTGTGAGGGATATAACCTCAGTGCGAGGGGTAAATTCCCTGACCCAGGGTTCAGCGGCTGCTGGATGTAGACTAGTTTGAAGCTTCTGGTGATAGGTACCCTTTCGAGCAAAGTTTTAAAGAAAATTACATAAAGGTAAGCTGTCTTATTTAGTCGAATGAGTAGTTGGGTCACGAGAAAGTTCGGTAGGTATAACTAATAACAGAGACCATGAGACTTTCCCAGTGTCTTCTGGTCTCATTCAGAGAAAAGGACACCTTTCTTACAATGGCCTTCAGAATTCAGTCTGGCCTACTGTCACCCATGTGAGTTCATGTCTAATCTCCCTCTCATCCATCCCATTCTTCATTGGCCACCTTTGTGTCATGCTCTCCCTCTAGGGCACCACTCACAGTGGACTTTGGATCTGTTGCTGACCTCATTCACACTCACAGCTCACCACTTCATCTTCTTCAAGCCTTTGCTGAAATGCTATCTTCTCAGCCAAGGACCTGAGTGAAAAATTACATATAGGAATAATGGAAGAGTGTGACAGGAAGTTACAATTGAGCAGGTGTCATAAGAAACAGCAGTAATTCCACAGACTTGCCCTTCTTAGAGGTGTCATCGCACATCTGATAGTGTGCTATGTGAATTCTTTATATATGAGACAGACAGGGATGTGATTGGTGATTACTAATGGAAACACAGAAATAATCTTTCAATGTAGGAGGCGATGATGACCATCTGTAGTACAAAGAGGGGACAAATTGCAAGAGTTGACTTCCTGAGCCACTGAGAAATTTGTGTCCATTATAAACAGGAAACCTATGAGCTATCCTGGATCTGACTCTTAGGCAACCAGAATCAACAGATAATCACCCAGTTCTGGCAGTTTAGAACACTTCATTGTAGATTTAGATCTACACAATGTGGAGGGTATCTGAGAAAATAACTCCTTTCCCCACTCCCACTCTTTCTATTTCTTTATTGCTATGATGAGTTGTCTAACCTCACATTCTCATTTCCTGCTGTGATTACAGGGCAGTATAGACTTGATTTAAATTGGCACAATAATGTTTGAAATATAGGCATCTCTAAATCACAGGTACTGAAGACATCCTTGGTGCCTGACAGACATAAGGTTTTTATTTTCTACTTTTTCATATGTATGTCCTCTTAACATCACTTTTATGATTAAATTTTACCTGCTAATTTTTCAGTCCAAATGTTAAACCAAAGAAGTGATCCATCTGAGACACACTCCAGATGGGGGAGGACAGACAGTAATATTCAAATTGTAAGCTCGGTTCAACTCAGTCTAACAAGTTTACTGGGCATAAAATTTCACACTGGTCATTTCATTGAGTGTAGATGGGTTTTTTTTCAACTTATATTATGAATCGCACCTTCTTAAGAGCAAGGTTCCCAAGGAGAAGACCCCATGGGGAGCAGTGTCTCTGCCTTGCTTCAGGGAACAAACATCTGGGAGAAGCCTTGGGCAGTAGGAGTTGTTCTTGTAAACTTGGGTGGGCAGGAACCGGCTGGGACAACAGGGAGGGACTTGGGATGGGGTAAGGAAGGAGTAGGGTGTCCTCGGTGTTCCCCCTCAGCCTGGGCTGATAGACCATTGCCACGCGGGTCCCGCCCTGGCCACCACACTCCCCACTGTGGCTTGTCATCTTGAGGCAGCCTCTGCTTCTGAATTTGGAAACGCACCTCTCTATGGTAGAAGCTCAGACTACTGGGAGGAGTTGGTGTTGGGCTCAGGCCCAGAGCCTCAGACCAGGGCGAGCCAGGCAGAGGGGGGGGGGGCAGGGGACACGGGGACGGGACACGGAGAGGACACACCTGTGGAGCCAGGTTCTCAGCTGGGCGGACCAAGCACCTGGGGACCAAGTCAGCAGCAGAGATGGCAGAGACCCCGTGGAGGGCAGATTCGGCCCGTGAGCGCAGAGCTTCCCCCCGGCGGCGGCGGAGCTCGCTTCCCTTGTGTCTGAACAGATCCTTCCTCTCCATCCCATCCTCGCCTGGCCCGCAGACGCGATGGAGGACGAGGAGAGACGGAGGAAGATTGAACATGGAAGAGCAATTGTAGCTGCGTGGCGGCGTAGCCGGGCCGCAGTCGCGATGGAGGACGAGGAGAGACAGAGGAAGATTGAATATGGACGAGCAATTGTAGCAGCCTGGAGGCTTAGCCAGCAGGCAGAAGCGATGGAGGACGAGGAGAGAAGCAGGAAGATTGAATATGCAAGAGCAAAGGTGGGAGCTCAGCAGGCTGGATCGGGGTCCGGGGGCGGGGCCTGGGCGGGGCGGGAGGCGGGGCTCCGCCCTTTCTCTTTCTAAAGGGAGTTTGGGGAGTGGTTTTGGCTTTGAGCTTTCTGCGTTCTGAGTTTAGGGATTTCTTTACTCTGAGGAACACCCCATGCTCTGATCACCATCCTGCTGCCTTTAGGTGTCAGGCTGGCACTCTTGGGTGTGTGTGATTGGCCTGTGACAGCTGCCTCCCCAGCGGAGTGGCTTGAGTGTGCCACAAGTGCCAGCTGTGAGCTTGGCTGTGGGGGCGTTTTTAGAAAGGGTTCTCTCCTCCTCCTCCCCCTCCTCCTCCTCCTCCTCCTCCTCCTCTTGTATATTTGTGTAGAAGGTTTTTGTCATGTCACGTGACCTTTTGTAGTGCATGAAATGGAACTTCTGAACACCAAAAGTTCTGTAAATTAAACAGCACCTGTAGACTTGCTGCTAATATATTTGTTATGTATTTGGTGAGTTCAGTTTTGTGTGGGCATGCGTGTATGGCAAGACCTGTAAACCATCCAGAATAATATGTAGTTGTATTTCAGTGGGCTGAATGAATATTTGACACATGGATTGAATGTAATTTCTTCCTGAAATTACCTCTTTGAGCTTACTTTTGCCCTCCTTGCTTCCTAAAATGATGTTACCTGACTTTCATTAGTGTTTAACATTTTAGTCCTAGCTGTATTCTTGTTTTAATTTTTGTTGTGTAAGCTTTTAAAAAGAAATCACAAGTGCAAGAGGTTCCCAGAATTAAACATCTCTCTTAAAAATAAATGAGAAAGGTGCCCTGCTGTGGATGGTAAGTAAATTGTGTGAATAGGTGGCACTAGGCTATGGGACTCCTGAGGGTGATATAGAAATGATCTGAGAGCTGGAAAGCATCAGTCTCTGGAATTTAGATTATTTTCAATGTTTCCTTTATAGATAAGGCTACAAACCACAAATAGAGCTAAATCTTTTGGCACAAGCTCATTATCTTTAGTGTGAAGATGAAGTCCCAGAAAACCCATGAAGAATGATGGGCTTAACCTCGTTGTGTGTGTCATATTTGAGACATTTGAAAGCCACAGATAATACTGAGCGCCTGCCTCACTCTCCTCTTCTGACTCTGGGCTGATTTTCTTTCTTTCAGTCATTTTCATTTCTTAGTCCTGATTCAGAAATATCCACTTTCTTTGCAGTGCAATAGTAATTACTCTATAAGGGCAGGACAAGCGTCCTTTGTTTTGTCATTCATTTTTAGTGATAGTTTAAGTTTAGTAAAATGACCCAGAGCTTTAATAATGATAAAAAATATTAGATGATAATGTTGCTTTATTCCCCCCCCCCATAGCTTGCTCAGTATCGACAAAGAATAGCCCAATTTGATGGGCAGACTACTAAGAAGAGTAAAAAAGTTTCAAGCTGTAAAGAAGATGAACACAGCTCAAATATTAATGAACATGCAGATGAGGTGTTTAAGAATGTTTCTCAAGGTGTAGAGACCAATGGGAATCCTGATTGCACCGAACTGATATTATTTCCCAGTGGACAAGCAAACAAGCACAATCAGGTCTTAGATGAGGTGAGTGCTTCCAGATTTTCAGCATAGTTCTTAGTGGAACATCAGTGTAATGAGAGTGGCCATCAGTTCAATGTGCAGTTTAATGATGACTTTTGTCCCTTCTTGCAAATTCCAGCAGTACGGTAGTAGCTAGACCTAAAATATTTACTAACCTCTGAGGGAGTCCTGTGGGCTTCATTCAACAGCTATTTATTGGGCATTCACAATGCAAAGATGAGGAAGGCAGATACAAAGAAACCAATGTACATCTTTCAGACCCATGCCAGCAACAGTGAACCTGCTGCTCAGAGTACAGAGGATGACAAAGCCAGCCTTGTGTGTGCTACTTGGGTAGCTTTGGAAGGGTAATATCGGAAGAATGAGTGGGAATCATCGAGGGGTTAACAAAAAGGCAAGGGAAGCAACCTCTGTGCAGAAAGAAATACATTGAAAAAGCATTTCCAAAGGGAAGGAGTAGGGTGATAATATTGAGGGTTTGGAAATTGTTCTCAGGCCAACACCCCTAAAAAGTGCCTAATTAATCCTAATTCCCCAAGTCCCCTCCCCCTTGTTAAATAGTGCAACTTTCTGAAATGGTGGAGTTAGAATGAATTAAAATGGTTGGCAGGTGATTGGCTCACCAACCAAATGAGAAATAGAGGGATGGGTTACTCAGGAGAGTATTAGGAGGATGGATATTATTTTAATTTTGTGCTACAGTATATTTATGTAGAAATAAGTTTCAAATAGATAGGTATTGTACTAACAGGGGTTAATATTTCTGTGACAAAATACCACACCCCAGAAGCAGGGTGGGGAGGAAAGGGTTTCTTCGACTTATGCTGCCACATTTCTGTGCATCTCTGAGCTAAAATCTTGAGTTAACAAAACAAGACGCTTGAGAATCTTTATGTTATCACTTCTATATCTGCCAGTGAGGTAGAACCAGGCCATGCTTATTTTTTCTATCCATCGAGGCAGCTATGAATCTTCAGCTTTGCGCGTGTAGTAATTCTGTGTCTTTGGATATCTGGGAATGTCTTCGATTGGAACCCTTTTGCCTGGGCCCTAAACACTGACCAAGTACCTGTTGCTAAGGACAATCGCAGGAAGGCAGATCTCTGCAACTACTATGGAGAAGGAAACAAGGACCTGATTGTGGGAAACTGGTCTCACACATAGCTAAGGAATGTAATCAGTAAACTTGAACTGCATGGGAGAAACTGTTCCCAATAAATGACTAGATAGTGTTAAACTGTGAGAAGTAAATTGTAGGTTACAGAAAGGAATAAACTACAGGAAGAATCTATAGCAAGAAACAGCCACTTTAATTCATAAGACTATAACACCAAATACATCTTTGTTTTTGGTTTAATCCAACAGAAGAATTATTAATTGTCCTGTGTTGTCTAATGATATGATAGCTGTATTACTGTGTGATCTTGCAGTTTGTAGCAGGGGGTGTTTTTGTTTGTTTGTTTTTGAGATAGAGTTTCTCTGTGTGGCCCTGGTTAAGCAGGACCTTGCTCTGTATACCATGCTGACCTTGAACTCACAGAGATCCACTTGCCTCTGCCTCCCTAGTGCTGGGATTAAGCCATGCATCACTACCCAGCTAGTCTGTTTATTCTTGGTGCCAGATTTCAATATACAATGTGCACTTAAATGTCATATGGAGGGATTGTGTCACAGGAATCATTAGATTTAGAATAAAATATCATGGACTGTGGACCTGAGTTCAGTTCCTAGAGCTCCCATTAAAATGCTGAGAGTGGTGGCTACACTCATAATCCCTGTTCTATGGAGACAGATAGAAGGGTTCCTGGGGCTCAGTGGGCACCTAGTCTCACCTACTTAGTGAGTTCAGGTCAGTGAGAGACCTTGTCTCAAGGCAGATCAGCAGTCATCCTGAGGACGGTACCAGAAGTAGTCCTGTAACTACTAACCAACTAACTAACTAACTAACTAACTAACTAACTAACTAAGTGAGCAGAGCCTCCTGAGTTAGGAACTATAGCTACAGGATTTTAGACTAAGAGACAAGCATATTTCTTTTCCTGCCAGCAGTCACTACTTCTTGGGAAGGCCATTGCAGAACTTGATCTTGAATGTTAAATAATGTTTCTGTAGGAATAGATTGAGGAATTACAGTGATAGTTATTGTTTATAAACACTCTGTGCTTCATGTTACAGGTGTTTGTGTGTATGTGTGTGTGTGTGTGTGTGTTTGTGTGTGTGTTGGATAGTAAAAACAGAAATTAGAAAAATTAGGATTTATTTCTTCTATTTCCTACTTCACAAGTGAGAGGAGCTTTGAATGCCACTGAACTCAAGCCTAAAATCTGGGATAAAGCAAAAATGTTTAATTTTTTACTTTGTAAATTTATATGGATATTTTGGCTATGGGGATTTATGCTTGCTTCCCATGAATGCAGTGCCCATGGAGGCCAGAAGAGGGCATCAGCTCCCCTGAGACTGGAGTTACAGCTGCTTGTGGGTTTTCTTATGCATGCTGAACTCCTTTGGCAAGAGCAGCTGGTGCTCTTAACTGCTGATCCATTTCTCTAGCCTCCAGCAAATTTTTTCATAATGAGTGCTTTGTAAGCTGTACAAGCATTGTAACATCAAAGAGTGTCATTGCTCTTCGAATAATTACGTTAGAATCAAGATCTGAGAATACATTTGAAAAAATGATGCTTCTGATAATAGCATTTAGGAGTCTTATTTAATAATTATAAAGCTTATAAAAATCATACTTTGGTGTTTTGGGCTTACAAAAGGATAGGTACTGTGTATAAGAACATGTCCTCTTGATATTTTTTATATGGAGAAAAATTTACTGCTTACACACTAATTCATAGGTGAAATTTCAGAAATTTGAATAATTTGTAGAGGGTTTTCTTAGTATATTACATCGTTTTAGTAGCATTTTATGTAGTAATTTTCATCATGGTAGTTGCTTTGTGGAAGTAAAATATGGGAAAAAGGCATAATTGTAAATTGTTTCACTTTTAGCCTGAAAGTGAATTTCTATTACAGCACACCATTGTAGTTCAGGAGAGGTAAGATTAACGTCATAATTTCAAATTGTATAGGTAAAAATAGTCACTTTATAACACTAAAATTATTGATTGTTGGTACTTTATTTCTTGTATTTTTACAGACTTCTGTTACATTTCTATAAATACAACAAAATGGCAATAGCATAAATGGTTAGCAAGCCATAGATATATTCTACTGCTGCTGTTTTTCACAATGCTAGCTGACATATTTACCATTCTGTAGATTTATCTTCAAATACATAGAGATTCTGATTAGTATCTGGGAAAGGCTTTCATACTGGGTTTATAGGCAGAAGGCCATGGTGACCTGGTTAGCGTCTGGGAGAGGCCCTGCTGCTGGGTTTCTACATGGAAGACCACTGAGAACTGGTCTCATTTAGCACAGCAATTTTTTTTGATAATTTGTTTTGGGTAAAGCTTCACAAATGTGTGGATTTGCATTAACCATATGGACATTTTATTGGCACTAATGCTGTGGCAGTGACTTTAGGTGAGAAACTGTTAAATAGAGGTGACCTCTTTATGACGAGTCCTCATGCTATGGTGGTAATAGCTTTATGACATTTGTCTTACTCTTTTAAATATGATCACCATTTCTTTGGTTCAGAATTAGAGAACATGAAAACCAACCCTTCTCTCTCTCTCTCTCTCTCTCTCTCTCTCTCTCTCTCTCTCTCTCTCTCTCTCTCTCTCTCTCTCTCTCTTTTTGGTTTTACCAGTCAGGGTATCTCTGTATTATTTTGGAGGCTGTCGGTCCAGCTTGGCCTTGAACTCACAGAGATCCGCCTGCCTCTGCCTCCAGAGTGCTGGGATTAAAGGGGCGCTCCACCACCGCCCTGCGAAATCCCTTCTCTTAATCTAAATGTGTAAACAATTAGTATATTTCATAAATTTCAGTGTAGTGTAGGTTTCAAATAGAAAAGAGAACCATTTATGCTTAAATTAGCACAACACAATTTTATATTAGTAATATGGGTAGGACCTTTGATACCTAATAAATTTAATGTACATTGGAGCTAATTATATACTTACTAGTAGACTAACCAGGAAAATAAACAACAATTAATAAATAAATGGATATCTGATTCACACTATGTAAAATTTCCTCTGTGGTCAGTATGAATTTAAAATCACAAACTCTAAAAGCTACCATTCAAGAATATTATGTCTAAAAAGGACGGGAGAAATTGAGACTAAATTGAAACTAAAGCCATTCATGTTATGCAAGATACTTTGATAAGTGTCACACACAGAGGACAAGAGAAACAGTCTCAGTCACAAAAGCACAGGGAAGAGTAAGTAATCATAGAAAGTAGATGAATGAAGGAAAAATAGGTAGAAACCATTTCTGTCTTACTCTGCAAATTAACAAACCCCTAGTACAGTTTCTGGGTAGGGATGCGAAAAGCCAAACCAAGAAAACTTGAAACCAGGAACAGCAGAGTTATAGGAAACAGCAAAGTGTTGTCAATAATAGCAATAATCGTAAAGAGTCTCCACTTTCCAATGAAAATAAATTGGCTGCCTGAAGAAAACAAAGAAGAGACAATTGTTTGTTGTCTGTGAGAAATACATCTCCCTGGCAAAGACACAGTAGACTGGAAGTGAATGTATCAGAATCCATATACGAGGTAAGAGCAAGCTTAAAAAAACAACACAGAACACCCCAATGCAGATGAAGCAGAAGGGAATGACCTTAAAAAAACCTTCATGAAAATGATAGAGGCCCTCAAAGAGGATATGAGAAAAATCCCTTAAAGAAATGGAAGAAAAAACAAAGCAAAAAATCCAACAAATTCAAGAAAGGGAGAAAAACATGAAGCAAAAATTACAAGAAACAATTCAAACAGTGCAAGGGTTGAAAGCTGAGAAGGAGACAATAAAAAATAACAGTCTGAAGGAATGCTGGAAATAGAAAAACTGGGGAAACAGTCAGGTACTACAGATGCAAGCATAACC